CCATTCTTCTTTGAATTGACAATGATTTGTGTTGGGGGGCGTGCGGGGAGAGGGGCCGGGGTGCGGGTGTGTATACCGGAGCCGCTGGCGGAGGGGTCGCTGGCTCGCTGGGCTGCAGCATTCACAGATGAGCTGGGTGCCCTGGGAAAGTGGTGGTCGTGGGGAAACGCTCCGAGGTTCGGTTCGGGAGATGAGCTGTCTCCCCAAAACCGGCCTCCTTGGCTCAGGACTTGGTAAGCAGGAGGGATGGCTGGGCCAGGGAGCCTCGGGGATCGAGTCCAGTGGCCTGAGCACAGTCTGTGCCCAAACCTGGTGGCCGTGGTGACTGGGGGCCTGGCTGGGGCCCAGCGTGAGCAGTCTTCTCTGAAGTTAATGAGCCCGAAGGCCGGTTCTGGCTTCCTGTGAATGCCGTCACCCTGCCCACGCCAGGGGGCTGTCAGCCTGGCCCGCCTGCTGGGGCAAACCTGCTGTTCTGTCTCGGGTCTGACTGTCCTGGGCTTTCCTGGGTTGTCCTCATGCCATGAGCTGGTGGCCAGAGGGATGCACTTTCTCCTGTCTGAACATGGCTCACCGAGATTGAGGTCGTGGAGAAGAGTCTGGATTGTCCCTGGAAAAGCGTTTCCTCTGGTTGCCTGTGCCGTCCACGGAAGCAGTGTGTGCAGAACTCATGTACTGAGCAGAAACTAGGTTTCCGTGTTGAGCTGGGTCCTGGGGTTAAGGCTTGCAGGAACTGGAGGGCGAGGAGGAGGAGAACCTTGGCCATGTGTTGTGTAAGGCAGGAGGGTCTGTCTCCCTTTTGACCCTTCCTCCTGAAATGCTAGCTCAACTTCCAGCGTCTGAGAGCGTGCTGCTCACAGGAGGGCACCGCAGAGCCGTGGCTGTAATGGGAGCGTGTACACTCTGGAATTTTATGAGAGTCAGCGTGAGGCAGAAGTTAGGAAGGTTTATGGGAGGAACGATAAGCCTGCTTAAGTAACATTTTCCAAACTGGGCCACTGAGCTGACTGCAAGGCAACATGGCGATCTTCCCATCCTTTGCCCCCGAAGATTCTTGGAGAGAGAAGCTCGTGCTGATGCCCATGGCTCTTCCCTTTGTGGCTGTTCTTCTAAGGCTGGATTGTTCTTGGGTGGCGCGTGTAAGGCAATACCCACGGGACAGAAAATGTCGAGGCTGGGGCACTGGGCCGCAGAGCTGGTTTGTCGGGATGCTATCAAAGGAACTGTGTGATTTCAGATCCTGTCAAGGCCTGAGGCACCATGTCCTTCATCGTTGGGGAGGTAATCCCCATGGCCCAGGGAGCGCTCGGCACTTATGGGTTCCGGACGCCCACCTCTTCCACTGAGACCTTTGGGGACTGTTTTGAGTAAAGGTTGAATATCTGACAGCCTCACACCTGAAATAGCTGGGTACCTGCTTTATAAAGGATTTCATGGAAACTCCAAATAGGCCATGATTTCAGAATTCTTGGAAGGAAAACAAAAGCAAACCTCTAAAGCCACATGGTCAGTGATGTTTAGTGTTTTCAGGGTGTCTCCTTTGTCCCTAACCCTTGACTGCAAGGAGGAACCCACAAGAGACAAGATGGTGACAGTCTTACCTGGAGAACATTTTAGAATTGAACGGGGTGGTGCTTTCCAGGAGAAGGTGGGAGGCCATCAGCTCCAAAAGAGATGTGGAGATAAAGAAATAGCCAAGGGGCCTGGACAGGCAGTAGCTCCCATGTCGTAGGTACAGTGAGGGGTCCGGACGGGCAGGATGTGGTCCTCAGAAGGCGGCGCCCAGGCTCACGAGAAGCAGGAGTCCAGAGAGGGCTGATGAGGCAGGTGCTCAGCCAGAGGCCGGGCCTGGGGTCAGAGCAGCCCCTCCTTAAACTCGCCTCCTCCTGCCCTGGCTGGCTTCTCTTTCTTTGTCTTCCCCCCCAGGCCTCTTCCTGACTCACTCGGAGGCCCCACCCCAGTCTCTGTCCTGCACTCAGTTCTCTTTGGATTTTCACATATGCTCTGGACGCACTGGTCTTGATTGGTTGCAGATGGAGGAAGGGGGCCTACGAAGACCCTCCCGGGACAGCCCCTGACGCTGAGCGCCAGCCCCTGGGACTGCTTGTCTTCCTGACATGCAGGAGGAAGACCCTCCCAGGGGAGGGAGCCCTGCAGGGCGGGAGCTAGAGGAGCTGGGGTCCGCCTGCCCCCAGCCTGCTGCCCGCGGGCCTGATTTAGGGTGCGCGGGGCGGTAGGTGCTGGGGCGGAGGCACCCAGGCCGCCGCAGGATGGCCTTCGCCCTCAGGCTCTGGTGCGCGCCCTGGGGTGCAGAGGGCCGCCGTGCTGGCGTGTGCTTTTGTGGTTGGGGAGCCTTTAAGCACTCCAGCACAGCTCTGTGCTTTGTGATTTTGCGTGCAGAGAAGCATGTAGGAATTTCAGAATGTATTTTGTTGGCATCAAACTTGCTAAATTTGCACATAAGCTGATTCCAGGCTGCAGCAATCCAGTGGCTCAGAGCTCTGGGTTCTGTCACTTTTGCTTTTATTGTGTGTATGTGGGTCTCCTCTTTCTTTTGTCTTTCCTCTCCCTCCTTCTTTCCTGCCTTCCTCTCTCCCTTCCTCCCTTCCTTCTTCTTTTGTTCAGCACGTGACCAAGCTACACAGACCACAGCTAGGCAGGCGCTGAGCACGCTGCTCTGCCTGGAGAGCCACCCTGTCCACCACCCTGGGTGACACAGGGCTCATGCCTGTAGTTTCCTTCTCAACCAGCAGAGGACTTTTTGCTTTATTTTCATTTGATTCTGCTTTGTTCTCACCAGTTTCGTTTTTTGAGCATCTTTTGCAGTTCGCCCCAAAATGAATGCTTCAGCCACAGCTTCTAGTGCGAGGAAACTTCTTAGAAGGTTTTATTTTCATCCACTTGGTGCTACTGACCCTCCTGGAGGGACTGGGAAACCTTCCACCTGCTGTGGTGTCCACAGCCTGAATAGAACTCCGGGCAATTTGCAGTCTCCCACTCTTTCTGTTTTCCTGCCAATAGTCTGCATGGAGATTTGTTTAAAAGGGTGAGGTCTCATAAAACTGAATGTGCCATTATTAGAAGAAGAACCAAAGTTTATTGGACACTCCCCATGTCCTAGGGGTATTCTGAGTGTGTTGAACACGGCCTCACCCATCCTCTAACCATAACATTCACATTTAACCCCAGTAAAACCCCTCTGATTATAGGTGCCATTATTACCCCCATTTTATAGATGAGAAAACTGAGGCTTGGGGAGTTTACATAATTTGATTAAGGTTATACCGCTAGGAGGTTTGGACGCCAGGTCCTGAGGCAGTAGTATCAATAATGCTAAAAAGAGGAGCCGTGCTGGAGTCACTGGGCGCTCGCTCACAGGGAGGCCTCACGACCGCTCTCTGACATAGACCTGCTTGTCTCCATCTCGTGGACAAGGAGGCTGAGGCCCAGAGCGGGGTTCTACCTGGCCTCACGCACGTGGGCACGTGGCAGAGCTGGGATGCTGACTCCGGACTCTGCATGGCAAGCCTGCCCCACTGCCCTCTGAGGCCTCCCAGCTCCCTGCTGGCATCCGCCCTGTTTCCTCTTGCACCCCGTCTGACTCTCTGTCTTCTTTCTGTGCATGGATTGGGGAGCAGCTCTCTCTTGAAAGCAGGGATCCTGCTCTGTCGTGCTGTGAACCCTGTGTGCTCCCAGACATTTACCAAGCAGGTGCAATCACTGAACACAGCCCGTCTAAGACTGTGGTCGACCAACCAAGGTGTCCTGAGCGGTTTTTCTTTGAAGGACGCTGAGATCTCCTCTCAGAGCCTTGGGTCCGACTCACAAGGCCAGGCTGTGGACGCAGAGGCCACCGACAGCCGAGACAGATGTGCCCATTGACAGATGGGTGGGAGTCCGCCTGGGGTCGGAAGGACACCCTCTGTCCCGGTGGGCGGAGCTGCGCTCCTGTGACCAGAGCAGGAGGGCCTGAGATGCCCAGCAGTGTGGCTGTCTTAATTAGAGACAGTCCCTAAGTGTCACTGCGTCACTTGGTGACTTTGACGAACGCATTTCGTACTTTCATGGATTCTGCAAGTAAGGCAGCGACCAGTGAAGTGAATTATTTCCTCGGGCTCATCTGCTGAGTGAGTATCCGAGGTGCACATCAGGCACCCAGACTGCAGGCTTGGCCGCTGTGTGGTGGTGCCTTTTTTTTTAATGAGTTGAGAATGGAAGGTCTGAGAAATGTCTAAGACGGAAGTTGGGCTTCGGTGTGGCAGTTCCATGGAACAGCAGAGACACCGTGGTTCCCACACCTGAGAAAACCCGTGGGGCCCTCTTCGAGACGGCGGAGGCTGGGCATATCATCCACTTCATGGAAAGCACTTCATTTTACAAGCTGGTGGATTCTTCCTTAGTCTCTCCAGCTACTCCATGGCCTCTTGAGCCTGGAACTACGCCTTCTTCAAATCTGCACCCCAGGACCTGGCACATGCCTCAGACCATGGCTGTTGCTGATAGAGTCTGAGTGACAGACCCTCCCATCCTTCACCTGCTCTGCTATCGATGTCCTGGCCTTTCTGTTTCATGAACACAGACGACTTTCTCTTGCTAGAGCCTCCCCGTGCATGGCTCCCAGCGTGAGGGCTCCTCCCACTCCAGCCCTGCCCGTGGATGGCGGGTCATCATTTTGGCCTCAGCTCCTGTGAAATCCCCTCCCAGATAAAAATAACCCCCACCACTTCCTGCAGCCTCAGACACCAGCATAGCTCCTTCTCCAGAGCAGTCGTCTGCACCTGAGGTCTTCCTGTTCCTTAATTTGGTCCTGTGCTCATCTTCCCCAGCTGGACTGTCATTTCCTTGTGGGCAGGAGCCTTCTGCCTCCTTCTCGCCGGGACCTGGCCTACAGAGGGCGTGCGGCAGCGAGCTCTCGCGTGAGTGGTGGAGGCGTAATGTGTGGGACCACCACCTTCTCCTGGCCCTCCCTGCC